CCCTGGAAGAGTCTGAGTAACAGTGACAGAGATCTGCAGCAATTATTGTTTATTGTGTGCAAAGTGCACCCTGCACTGAGAGGGCTGCCTGCAGATTTTGGGCATTTACAGAGCAAGATTTCCTTCAAACCCTTTCAATTTAATCCACAATACATCTGCATTACACCAGAATTAAGTGTAAAGGATGAAAAACTCAGATATTTCTTTTTATCGTTATATCCATATTATATCATTATATCCCTATTATACCGTTATATCCCTATTATATCGTTATATCCATATTATATCGTTATATCCCTATTATATCGTTATATCCATATTATATCGTTATATCCCTATTATATCGTTATATCCATATTATATCGTTACATCCAAATATTATTCAAGGCAAGACATTTGTTAGGAAAAACAAGGATTAAAAGACAAACAGCAGCTTTCACCAGAATTCTTTTTATTATTATTGTTTTATTTCAAGATAGAATTGACAAATTTTAACCTGAGGAAATAGCGAAACATCTAAAAACGACTCAAAATGGAACCAGAATGATAAAATTTTCTATTTAGCTTAACGATGTAACAAAATGAGAAGTTATTTGTGGTGGGTATGAATGGAACAGAATATTTTCTAGCAGCAACTTACAGGTCATATTGGCCAACTCCTCCATGGTCCATGCTCTCACTTAATTGACCCTGGGGATGAGAAGGGTAGAAAAAAGATGAATAAGAAAAAGGAAAGCATTAAAAATAAATGCACTAGTATGGTTTACAACTTTTTAAGTATGAAAAGACAAAATCTCTATATAATTAAATAGGTCAGGAATAAAAAGTTATCAGCAGAAGATAAAAAATGTACTAAATTCTGTGCCAGATTTGCAGTACAAACAGTGACACAGGGAACCCCTGCCTTACCTGGCTGCATTGTTACTCCATCACCCAAATGCCAGAGGTACAATTTCACAGCCCCAAGTGAACTTGAAAAACCTTAAGGTACTGCAATTTTCTTTAAAATTCCTCTTACACAGAGATTTTTGAGTCCTGTTGCAGCACTATGCAAATCAGATCAATAATAAAGATTTTGTGAAGAGATGAACTGGGACTCCTGTGCACTAAAAATCTACTGAGAAAGTTTTATTATTTTACATTGGTAAGTGAAATCCCAATGGTGATGAAAGAATTCAGCTTTACTCTGATGTGAAACACATTTTCTGACCAATAATCAATACTGAAGAAGTTTCAGCACCAGAACCAGCCACCATTAAGGAATGGGGTTGAATTCTACAGAGATATTTCCCTCAAAGAATTCTGAACCTGATCCCTTCCCTCTGACTGTGGCTCTGCATGGCAAAAGTGCAAAGGCAGCAGACAGCTGGAATGAATGCAAATAGAATGTCAGGGGCAGCTTCTGGTGAGCTGCAGACTGCACTGTCACATTCTGATTTCTGCCAGTATGGACACAAAATAACAACTGTGAGTTTGTGGGGAACAGCCTGGGACCTACAGACTGAACAGAAATATACTGAGTGACCTGTGAAATTCAGAGGAGGAGAAAAAGAAAACCACTGAGATCTGCAAAACTCAGCTCAAGCCAAGGAGTGCATTTTAAAATATTATCCAAGTGAAAACACTAACCAAAGAAAACTCAAGACTTTCAACAGCTTCCAGACCATTTCAACGTTAAAGTTTACAGAGGCTGGTTTATTTTGGGTGATCTAAAGGGGAATTTAACTCTTGGATCCACCTCTGAACACCACAGGCAATTAAGGAGTCCAAAAGATCAGGTTTGTTTCCAGCTCATGTCCTCCTGTTGACATTTATTAGAGAAATCCAGCTTATTGACATGTTTCACAACAAAAGCCACTAGAGCTGCCCTTGACCCCACTCTTAGATGCCAACAAATGAATTTTTAAAAATTCAACCCAGAGAATAAACACCCCTCAGTTCCCAGAGCAACTCCTCCTGTTACCCAATGCCTCTGGCAGAGTTTGCTGTGCTGCTCTTGCTCTGTGAACTTTGGGTTCCATTCTCAGTATTAATTTAACCAAAAGTCACTTCAGACACCATGCTGGTATTTTTTCAGGGCTCCTTCTCACTTCACAACACCAAGACAGGCTCTGGGAAGCCACCAGCCCTTCACTCCATACATTGTTTCATTTATTACAAACAAATTAAGGCTGAGGCTTTTTTCACCATAATAATTAGCGCAAACAACCACATGGCTTTTGAGGAAACTCCTTTTAAACAACACTTTAGATTTTCCAGGAGGGCTGTGCCTACTCAAACCCACAGCTGAGCTCCCTGGGCTCCTCCTGGACGCAGAGGTTTTGGGAAACAGCAGAAATTTGACAGCACAGTCCTGAGTGTGCCCCTCGACGTGCCCTGCTCTGGCTGCATCCTCTCTGCTCCCACAGGACACACACCCTGTGCAGGTAACCACTGCAATGCTGTCCCCTCACACATTCCTGTCCCTTGTTTTCATCCCAAGCCCATTCTCACCCTCCTTATCTGTTTGCCAAAAGGCACCTGAGACCAATCAGGGCTGCCAAAGTCCATAGAGATGTCGGTCATGGCAAGGTTCTGAAATCCACAATGGTTCCATTGTTCCCCCAGACTGAATTACAGGAACACACGGGAGAACAAACTCAACTTTCTGGGCACCTCGATCAGAACCTGTTCTTGGCAGCCCTAACAGGGTGATGCAAGAAACGTTTTCCAAAGCCAAGTGTTTTATTGATTATTGAGGTGACAGACAGAGCTTCTCCTCCGGCAGGCTGAGCAGCTTTCAAGCCTTCAGCTGTCAAAACAAAATCCCTGCAGGTTCCATGGAGTGAGGGTAACAGAATATCTGCTTATCTCCCCAAGGGAAGCACCTGGAGGGAATCTACAGCAAACATGGAAGGGACTTTTCACAAGAGCAGGGAGGTTTAGATTAAATATTGGGGGAAATTCTGCCCTGGGAGGGTGGGGAGAGCCTGGCACAGGGTGCCCAGAGGAGCTGTGGCTGCTTCATCCCTGGAAGTGTCCAAGGACAGAGCTTGGAGCCACCTGGGAGAGGGGAAGGTGTCCCTGCCCATGGCCTCAAATGATTCTAAAGTCCATCCCAACCCAAATAATTCCATGATCTCAAGTACTCCGAGACTGTCATTAGTACTTAAAGAGCAGAAAAAAACCGCACTGGCAGTTTGAGCAACAGCAAAGGGTTAATATACAAAACAACATTAAAAAACCACACAAGACCTAGAGAAACATAAACAGAGATGATGCAATAGAATTCCCTGAGGCTTTGACAGGGCCCAGATGAGCATCACAAGCCGCAAAGTGCAATTTCTGTCAGGTGCGCTGCTCAGAGCACGGGATGCGCGCAGCGCTGACCCGCCTAGCGCAGCCTTTCAAACCTCGCCTTTTAATTTTGGCGCGAGAGCAGCGACTTTCCCCGGCTCCAGAAAGATCGGCATTCCCGCACTGACGTTCGGACATGTGACAGTACAGAAATAATTAAAGAAACCCCGC